TCCTTTTTAAAGGCTGAATATTATGCATTTATATGTATATGTCACATTTTGTTTATCCGTTCATCTGCTGAAAGATATTTGGGTTATTTCAGTCTTTTGGCTATTGTGAATAATGCCGCTATGAAAATAGGTGTACCAATATCTGTTTGAATCCCTGCTTTCAATTTTCTATTTGGCATATACCTAGAAATGGCATTGATGGATCATATAGTAATTCTATATTTAATCATACTTTTTTTCATAGCAGCTACATCTCTGTTGGTAGTGTCCTTTGTTGCATGTAAGTTTTAAATTTTAACATAGTCCAATTTATCTGTTTTTCCTTTTTTGGCCTGTACATTTGGCATTATAGCCATGAAGTAAACCACCAAATCTAATATCATGGAGCTTTCCTTCTATATTTTCTTTTAAGAGTTTTAATATTTTTAGTTCTTAAAATCGTAGTTATTATAACCTTTTTAACTAAAAAATCTGGATCAGTTTTGAGTCTGTTTCTCTTTTGAATTTTCTATCTTGGCTTAAGGTCATATAACATTGTCTAATACTATGGTTCACCATTTTTACTGAAAGCTTGACATTGTGTACAAATTGTACAGTCTCCAGATAAAAACATCTTTTGAAAAGAAATATGTGGATTAGGGGTAGTGAAAAATCACTTTAACCAAATCAGAGATTGAGCTCAGTTGACAGCTGTGCAATGCTCAGTTTTATTTCAATTCCTTTTTCCTCAAGTATACTCCTTTAGGGATTTTGCCCTAGATGATTTTCTTGATAAATGATGTTAGCCTCACTTGTTTCTCCCATATCAGGCATTGTATTAGTCTGTTTTCACACTTCTATAAAGAACTGCCCAAGACTGGGTAATTTTAAAAGGAAACAGTCTCACAGCTCCATACGGCTGGGAGGCCTCAGGAAACTTACAATGAGGTGGAAGTTAAAGGGGAAGCAAGGACCTTCTTCACATGGTGGCAGGAGAGAGAAATGTAAGCAGGGGAAAATGCCATATGGTTATAAAACCATCAGATCTCTTGAGAACAGGATGGGGAAACTGCCCCCATGATCGAATCCCCTCCCTCCTCAACACATGGGGATTACAGATCTCTCCCTCCACACATAGAGATTACAATTTGAGATGAGATTTGGGTGGAGGCACAGAACCAAAACATATTGCTCTGCCCCAACCCCACCCAAATCTCATGTTCTTTATACATTTGAACATCAATCATGCTTTCCCAGCAGTCCCCCAAAGTCTTAACTAATTCCAGCATTATCTTAAAAGTACAAGTCCAAAGTCTCATCTGAAACAAGGCAAGTTCCTTCCTCCCATGAGCCTGTAAAATCAAAAGTAAGTTAGTTACTTCCAAGATAATATGGGGGTACAGGCATTGGGTAAACGTTGCTGTTCCAAATGGAAGAAATTGGCCAAAAAAAGGGGCTACAGGCCCTATGCAGGTCCAAAATCCAGTGGGGCAGTCATTAAACCATACAGCTCCAAAATAATCTCCTTTGACTCCATGTCTCACATCCAAGGCATGCTGATTTAAAGGGTAGACTCCCATGGCCGTGGGCAGCTCTGCCTCTGTGGCTTTGCACGGCAGCCACACTCCTGGTTGGTTTCACAGCTGGCATTGTCCGCAGATGCTGTCAATGGAGCTACCATTTTTGGTGCTGGAGAATGATGGCCCTCTTCTCACAGCTCCACCAGGCAGTGCCCCAGTGAAGATCCTGTGTGGGGAACTCCAACCCCACATTTCCTTTCCACACTGCCCTAGCAGAACTTATTCTTGAGGCTCCACCCCTGCTTCAAACTTCTAGCTGAACATCCAGTCATTTCCATACATCCTCTGAAATCAAGGTGGAAGTTTTTGAAGCTCAATTCTTGACTTCTGTGCACCTGTAGGCCCAACACCATATGAAGCCACCAGGGCTTGGTAAATGTTGCTGTTCCAAATGGAAGAAATTGGCCAAAACAAAGGGGCTACAGGCCCTATGCTGGTCCAAAATCCAGTGGGGCAGTCATTAAACCTTACAGCTCCAAAATAAACCTTACAACTCCCTCTTAAAGCAACATCCTGAGCTGTACATTGGCCCATTAGCCATAGCTGGGATGCAGGGAACCAAGTCCCAAGAGTATATAAAGCAGCAAGGCCCTAGGCCTGGCCCACAAAACCATTTTCTCCTTCTAGGCCTCCAGGCCTGTTATGGGAGGGTCTGCCATGAAGATCTCTCTTATTTTCCCCATTGTTCTCATTACTTATGCAAATTTCTGCAGGTAGCTTGAATTTCTCACCAGAAAATTGATTTTTCTTTTCTATCACATGGTGAGGCCACAAATTTTCCAAGCTCTTATGGTCTGTCACCTCTTGAACACTTTGCTGCTTAGAAATTTATCCTGCCAGATACCATAAATCATCTCTCTTGAGTAAGAAGTTCCACAGATCTCTAGAGCAGGGTGCAAATACCACCAATCTCTTTGCTAAAGCATAGCAAGAGTGATCTTTGGTTCAGTTCTAATAAACTCTCCATCTCCATCTGAAACCACCTCAGCCTAAACTTTATTGTCGATATCACTCTCCAACATTTTGATAGAAACCATTCAACAAGTCTCCAGAAATTTCCAAACTTTCCCACATTTTCCTCTATTCTTCTGAGCCCCCCAAACTGTTCCAACCTTTGCCAGTTACCCAGTTCCAAAGTCACTTCCACATTTTCAATTATCTTTATAGAAGTACCCACCCTTTGCAGGGTGTATTAGTCCATTCTGTAAATGGACTAATACAGAAAAAATACACCAATTTTCTGTATTAGTCCATTTTCACACTTCTATAAAGAACTGCCCGACATTGGGTAATTTATAAAGGAAAAAAACTTAGTTGACTCACAGTTCTGAATGGCTGGGGAGGCCTTGAAAAACTTACAATCACAGTGGAAGGTAAAAGAGGAACAAGGACCTTCTTCACATGGTGGCAGGAGAGAGAAGTCCAAAAAGGGAAAAGGCCAGATGCTTATAAAATCATCAGATCTCATGAGAACTCACTCACTATCTTGAGAACAGCATGGGGAAAACTGTTTCCATGGTCCAACTGCCTCTCTCCCTCAGCATATGGAGCTTACAGGTCTCTCCCTCAACACATGGGGATTCCAATTCAAGATGAGATTTGGGAGGGGACATGGAGCCAAACCGTATCAGGCATACCCTACCATTTCCCAACTTGATTTATTTCTACTGTCCATGCTTTCCTATACTGGAATAGCTGAATTAACTTCTCCAAGGTAACATAACTATAAATGAAGGAGTTGTGGCCCATCAGGCAATGTAACTCCAGAGCCCATATAATTAAAACTAAAGTGCTTTTAATGTGACAAGTATTCTGTGTAAGACATAGACTAAAGCTCTCATAAGGATTTATAGGCTAACATTTATAAAATGGCTATAATAACTTAAATCTATAAAAGATTAAATGATCTAAGAAAAGAAAACAAATCCAACAACTATATAATTTTTTAATTTTTCTGTTTTAGAAAATGAACTCATAAAAATAACTTCTTTAGGAAGTAAAAAAGAGCCTTAAGAAAAACTTAAAAATAAAAAACAATGGATGAATAAGTCACAGAAGGCTAAAATGGTTTAGAAATAGCTCATTGGAAATCAGTTACAAAGCTGTTGAGACCATTGGGCATCATGCCAATAATACTATTCCATTGCCTCTGACCAGCTTTCTCCAGGGTCCTTACCTCTCGATTGCTTTCACAGAGCACTCTGGAACTTCTGCCAGATGATGATCAAACTGTATTATATTCCCAACCTCTTTTCAAAACATTCTTTCAAATTCTGTGCCCTATCTGAAACCAAGCCCTTCCTCTAAGGAAGACACTGCATCCTCTATGGTCCTCTTACACAACAGCAGTTTATTCACTAACATTCCTTCTGACACCCCACTGCTATTTCTAAAACTTCTTATATATATATAAAAAAAAAATCCTTTCTCCTTAGAAGCTTGTATAATTTGACAATACCACATTCTTCCTCTTCTATTTACTGTTACTTACTCACCTTAATTTGATCCTTTTCCTTTATTTACCAGACATTAGTGCCTGACCCCCATATTTGTAATCTTTTTGTCTTACACACTTGGATAATTCATCTACTGTCTTGTTTCTTCAGTTATTTACTTCCTTTCTAATAAAGGAAAGGCCACACTAAAACCTTCTATAATGTGAAATACACATTTCTGAATACTACTTCACATTCTTTCAGTTCTCTTGTTCAATTACATTCACTGCATCCCCTCCAATTATTCTTCACTTTCATCAAGATGTGCAGTACAATGACCCCTTTAACTCAAACCTTTTCCATCTTCCTTCTTTACCTGTTTTTGTATTCAATATCTGTTATTCATCATCCCCAAAATACTGTCATAAATATCCTAAACTCTCTTGAAATATGGTTATTGTTGCCTTGTTGCTGCACATTTCTAGAAAGACTTCAATCTAGGAATGCTGCTGCCCCACTCCCACTGATGCCCCTCACCAGCTGACACACATGCACCCTTTTGCACTGCTGAGGTGGCTGGCATGTGTGACTCAGCACAGATTCTGTTGCCACCACCCCAGTGAAGCACTCTAATGGGGGGAATTCCCCATTGGAATGTTATGGCCAGTGGACCAGGAACACCTCAGCTCCTGCAGCACAGCAGGTTCCTAACCTTGAGTGGCCAGAGAACAGAGCTGGAGGCCTGGTTTCAGCACCCCAGAGCTAGACCACACAGCCCAGGAGAGCTGAGCTATGCTTGGCCCCTTAAAATCTTCTAGAAATGAAGCCAGCCAACTGAACCCACCTTACACCACAACCAAACCCCCAAGGGTATCAAAGAAGATAAAAGCAAAAAGTTCCATCTACAGGATAGCAACTTAAATATTGAAGGAACATCAGCCCACACAGATGAAAAATAATCAGCACAAGAACTCTGGCAACTAAAAACCACTGAGTGTCTTCTTACCTCCATATGACTGTAGCTGTTCCTCAGCAATGATTCTTAACCAGGCTGAAATGACAAACATATAATTCAGAATATGGATAGGAATGAACATGGACATTCAGGAGAAAGTTGAAACCCAATGCAAGGATTCTAAGGAATACAATAAAATGATATAGGAGCTTTAAGATGAAATGGCCATTTTAATAGAGAACCAAACTGATCTGATAGAACTAAAAAACTCATTATAAGAATTTCATAAGATAATCACAAGTATTAACAGCAGAATAGATCAAGCTCAGGAAATAATTTCAGAGCTTGAAGGCAATTTCTTTGAATAAACTGTCAGATAAAAATAAAGGAAAATGAACAAAAAGAATAAACATATCTGAGAAACATGGGGTTATGTAAAGAGACTAAATATACAACTCACTGATGTCCCTGAAAGAGAGGGAGAAAGAGTAAGTAATGTGGAAAACATATTTGAGGATATCATCCATGAAAATTTCTCCAATCTTGCTAGAGAAGCTAGTATTCAAATTCAAGAAATGCAGAGAACCCCTGTGAGATACTATAAAAAATGACCATCCCAAAGACACAAAATCATCAGATTCTCCAAGGTCAAAATAAAAAAAAAAAAGTATTAAAGGCAGCTAGAGAGAAGAGGCCGGTCACCCACAAATGGAACCCCATCAGGCTAAGAGTGGACCTTTCAGCAGAAACTCTACAAGCCAGAAAAGATTGAGAGGCCTATATTCAGTATTCTTAAAGAAAAGAAATTTCAACCAAGAACTTCATATCTAGGTAAACGAGGCTTTACAAGAAAAGTAGAAATAAGAACCTTTCAGACAAACAAATGCTAAGGGAATTTGTTACCACCAGACATGCTTTACTAGATGTCCTGAAGGGAGTGCTAAACATAGAAATGAAAGACCTTTACCAGCCACCACGAAAACACACTTAAGTACATAGACCAATGACACTATAAAGCAGTAACTACACAATCAAGTCTGCATAATAACCAGGTAGCAACATGATGACAGAATTAAATTTGAACATATGAGTATCAACTTTGAATGCAAATGAGCAAAATGCCCCAATTAAAAGGCACAGAAGGGCAAATTGGATAAAACAAGACATAATGATATACTGTCTTCAAAAAGCCCATCTCACATGCAATGACAACTGTAAGCTCAAAGTAAAGGAATGGATAAGAATCTACCAAGCAAATGTAAAACAGAAAAAAGCAGGGGCTACTATTCTGATTTCAGATAAATCAGACTTTAAACAATGATCAAAAAAGACAAAGGACTGGGTATGGTAGCTCATGTCTGTAATCCCAGCACTTTGGGAGGCTGAGGAGGGCGGATCACAAGGTCAGGATATCAAGACCATCCTAGCCAACATGGTAAAACCCCATCTGTACTAAAATACAAAAAATTAGCCAGGTGTGGTGGTGCGCGCCTGTAGTCCCAGCTACTTGGGAGGCTGAGGCAGGGGAATCACTTGAACCCAGGAGGCAGAGGTTGTAGTGAGCTGAGATCATGCCACTGCACTCCAGCCTGGTGACAGAGCGAGGCTCTGTTTCAAAAAAAAAAAAAGACAAAGATGGATATTACATAATGGTAAAGAGTTCAATTCAACAAGAAAATCTAACTATCCTAAATATATATATGCACCCAACACAGGAGCAAAGAGATTCATCAAATAAGTTCATAAAGACCTATGAAAAAACTTAAGGTAATCACATACAAATAGTGGGAAGGTTAAACATCCCATTGACAGGACTAGACAGATCACTGAGGCAGAAAACTGACAGAGAAATTTGGACCTGCACTCAATACTTAATCAATAAACCTACAGGCTTTTACAGAATTTACCACCCCAAAACAATAGAATATACATTATTCTCATCTGCACATGGCACATACTGTAAAACTGGCCATATGATCAGCCATAAAATAATTGTTATCACATTAAAAAAAAAGTTGAAATCATATCAACCATGCTCTTGGACCACAGTGCAATAAAAATAGAAATCAATACTAAGAGGAAACCTCAAAACCATAGTTATATAGAAATTAAACAACCGGTTCCTGAATGACTTTTGGGTAAACAATAAAATTAAGTCAAAAATTAAGAAATTCTTTGAAATGATTGAGAACAAAGATACAATATACCAGAATCCCTGAGACTGAGCTAAAGCATGCTAAGAGAAAAGTTTACAGCATAAATGTCCCCATAGAAAACTCAGATATCAAATTAACAACCTATCCTCATGCTGAGAGGAAACAGAAAAACAAGAGCAAACTAAGCCCAAAGTTAGCAGACGAAAAGAAATAACCAAAATTACAGCTGAACTGAATGAAATTGAGACACAACAAGCAATACAAAAGATCAAGGAATCCAGGAGTTGGTTTTTTGAAAGAATAAATAAGATTATTTAAAGAATAAATAAGATTATAAATAAGAACAAACAAGATTATTTGAAAGAATAAATAAGACCGCAGCTAGACTAACAAAGAAAAAAGAGAGAAGATCCAAATAAACACAATTGGAAATGACAAAGGAACATTATCCCACTGAAATACAAAAAATCCTCAGAGGCTATTATGAACACATCTATGCAAACAAATTAGAACACCTATAAGAAATGAGTAAATTCCTGGAAACTTACAACCTCCCAAGATTAAACCAGGAAGAAATTAAAACTGTGAACAGACAAATCATGATTCTGCAATTGAATCAGTAATACAAATCTTACCAACTAGAAAAAAGCTTGGGACAAGATTGATTCACAGCCAAATTCTATCAGATATATAAAGAAGAGCTGGTACCATTCCTATTGAAAATATCCCAAAAAATTGAAGAGGAAGAACTCCCCAACTCATTCTATGAGGATAGCGCCATCCTGATACCAAAACCTGGCAGACACACACACACACACACACACACACACACACACACACAAAGGCCAATATCCTTGATGAACACTGGTGCAAAAATCCTCAGCAAAATACTAGCAAATGGAAACCAGCAGCAAATAAAAAAGCTAATCCATCACGATCGAGTAGGCTTTATCCCTAGGATGCAAAGCTAGTTCAACACCCCCCCCAATAATTGTGATTCATCATATAATTAGAACTAAACCCAAAAACCATATAATAATCTCAATAGATACAGACATGGCTTTTGATAAAATTCAGCATAGCTTCATGTTAAAAGCCTTCAACAAATAGGCATTGAAGGAATATATCTTAAAATAATGAGTCATTTATGACAAAACTATAGCCAACATCATACTGAACAAGCAAAAGTTGGAAGTATTACCCTTGAAAACCAGAGCAAGCCAAGGATGCCCACTTTCAACACTCCTATGTAATACTCGAAGTTGTAGCTAGAGCAGTCAGGCAAGAGAAAGAACGAAAAGGCATTCAAGTAGGAAGAGAGGGAGTCAAACAATCTTTGTCCATAGATGATATGATTCTACACCTAGTAAACCCATAGTCTCTGCCCCAAAGTGCCTAAATATAACAAACTACTTCAAAAAAAAAATTCAGGATACAAAATCAATGTACAAAAATCAGTAGCATTTCTATCCCCAACAAGTTCAAGCTGTGAGACAAATCAAGAACATGATTCCACATACAACAGCCACAAAAAGAATAAAATACCTAGGAATACAGGTAACCAGGGAGGTGAAAGATCTCTACACTGAAAATTACAAAACATTGCTGAAAGAAATCAGAGATGACACAAAGGGAGTATGCTACATGTATGCTAATGTAGCTGCCATGCTACAGTAACTTGGCATCACTATAAATGCATAACAGCTTTGAAATCAGAAATACACTGGTTGTATGATCTTGGATAATTTACAATCTCTTATCACTTTTTTTTTTTTTTTGGAGAAATAGGGTCTCCCTCTGTCACCTAGGCTGGAGTGTGGTGGTGTGATCATGGCTCACTGCAACCTCCACCTCCCCAGCTCAGGTGATCCTCACACCTCAGTCTCCCAAGTAGGTGGAACTATAAGCATGTCGTGTCTGATTAATTTTTTTGTGGGAACAAGGTCTCCCTATGTTGCCCAGGCTGGTCTCAAATTCCTGGGCTCAAGTGTTCCTCCTGCCTTGGCCTCCCAAATCTCATTATCTTTCAGTGGGCATAGTACTATCTATTTTTCTTCATATTCACAGCTAGGGAAAGCAGAATCAAATTTTAGGACAGCCAGCCAAATATGAGTTTACTGGATAAGTTTATTAGAAATTATGGCATGCTTTTTGTACTAATAAAAATAAGACTTCTTACTGGTTTATATTCCAGTATCTTACATATAAATGATAAGCTCAGTTTAAAAAATTTTTATGCTCTATTTATTTCAATAAGCTTCTTAAAGTCCTTTGTTGGAATGAGGTAGATATAAGAACATACATAAACACACACATGCACACACACATATACATGTCTTTCTATTATGGGAATTAAGTGAGATGTTTGTACAACTTATAGCAATAGCTATGGTATGTAAAACTTTTCTTAGAAGTATGTACTGCTATTATATTGCCAGGCTTTGCTTTTAAAATAGTGAAAAATGTTGATGGATTTAGAGGTTCCATTTTCTCCTTGGTTTATTAGAATGTTTGATTATATATGAATAATGTACACAGTGTGGTATTATAAAAAGAATTGGGCAGTCTGAGTTCTGTTTTTCATTTGCTACATATATTTATATATATATATTTTTTAACAGAGTCTCACTCTGTCACCCAGGATGGAGTGCAGTGGTGTGATTTCAGCTCAATGCAACCTCTGCCTCCTGGGTTCAAGCGATTCTGCCTCAGCCTCCTGAGTAGCTGGGACTACAGATGCCCATCACCACATCTATCTAATTTTTTAAATTTTTGGTAGTGATGGGGTTTCACCATGTTGGCCAGGCTGGTCTCAAACTTCTGACCTCAAGTGGCTTGCCCACCTCAGTCTTCCAAAGTGCTGGGATTACAGGTGTGAGAGACCACACCTGGCCCTGATACATCATATTGAGAAAATTTCTTGTTATTTCATCTCTCTGCTGAATTCCAGACCTATAAAGTGACAGACGGAGGGAAGATCTTAGATGATTTAAGGCTTTAGCAGTTTTAAGTTTATGATTCTATTATCTGAGTAACCTACTAAGAAATAGGCTGAAAGAATAGCAATACATACTTTTGGGAACTTCATTTCTTAAATACCATGTATATACATATGTATCACTTAATATAAACTACTTACTTTCCTTGGTGTGTCCATACACAATACTCCGGGTTTATGCTTTTGAAGCAATGTTGTGCAACAGTGACCTCTAGTGACTATATAGCGCAGATAATTCAGCAAAACTTTATACTCGTCTAAATGTGGATTTACTTTGTAGCCCAGCTAAATACTTTAAAATTCTTCTTCACTTCTGTCCTCTGTAGAAGTAAGAAATGCCAATTAAATTTGACAATAGCATTAATAATTGGATAAATAAGAACTGAAATTTCCTTCAAAATCATAATGTATTTGGAATTCAGTATAAATTATTCTAAATGAGACTGCAGTTCTTTCCCCTTCATGGAGAGTGGCAAAGCTGGGATTTTGAATTTCAGTGTGTTTAAATATGTAGTCTACTCTCTTATCTACTATGACTGTTGACAGGTAATAGGCATTTAACACATACTCAATTAGAGTTAGGTAAAACATATGCATCAATAATTGTGTTTGTGAGTATGTATTGCTTTAGAATCTTTGGAAATATTGCTGTCTTTCAAGCAAAACTCTTCTTGAGGTTTGCTAAAAGATTAACACATTAAAAACAACCACAATATCCACATTTCTAAAAAAAAATGAATTTGAGACCTACATGCAAAAACAGAATACTCTTTCTTTATAAAAAGCATTCAAACTAGGTCAGTTTTTTTTTTTTTTTTTTTTTAAAGATAATGACTACCTGGCATTATTATTTAATCAAGACAATACAAATCTGGGCTAACCCTCTACTACTATAATTCAAATGAACTGTCACTGTTAAAATTCCTAGTAGTATTTAGGGTTTGTTCTCATTAATCAGATAGTATTTTGATTTTCAATTGTTTTTTGGTGCCTAGATCTTGTTTCCACAATAAAGTGACAAGGTATCTGTCTTAGGTCATTTTGTACTGCTGTAACAGAATACCACAGATTGGGTAATTTATAATGAACAAAAATTTCTTTCTCACAGTGCTGGAGGCTGAGAAGTTCAAGATCAAGGTACCAGCATCTTGTGAGGGCCCTCTTGTTTCATTCTCTGGAGGGAAGGGAGGCTATGTCCTCACATGGTAGAAGACATAAGGGTAAGAGAGGGAAATGGGTGGCAGAACTTGTCCTTTTATAATGAAATTAACCTCACTCGTGTAGGCACAGCACTCATGGCCTAATCACCTCTTAAAGGTCCCACCTCTTCATACTGTTAAAATCAACATGAGTTTTGGAGAGGACAAACATTCAAACCATAGCAGTGTCTTTGTCTATTTGTATCACTATAACAAAATACTGAAGACCAGGTAATTTATAAATAACAAAAATTTATTTTGTCACAGTTCTAGAGGCTGGAAAATCCCAGATCAAACTGCTGACAGATTTGGCTTCTGGTAAGAACTCAGACCTCTGCTTCCAAAATGGTGCCTTGAATGCTGCGTCCTCTGGGGGAAATAAATGCTGTATCTTCACTTGTTGGAAAAGAGAGAAGGGTGAAAAGGGGCTAGCTAGCTCCCACCACTTATTTTATAAAGGCATTAATCCATTTATGAGGGCAGGACCCTCATGACCTAGTCACTTCCTAAAGGTCCTGCCTCTTAATACTGTTGCATTGGGGATTAAGTTTCAACATGAAATTGGAGGGGACACAAACATTCAAACCACAGCAATTTGCCCCTGTACCCCCAACAAATTCATGTCTTTCTCATATATAAAATACACTTGCTCCATCCCAATAGCTCCAAAAGTCTTAACTCTTTCCAATATCAACTCAAAATTCTAGAGTCCGGGGTCTCATCTAAATCAGATATGGGTGAGACTCAAAGATTCACCCTGAGGCAAATTGCTCTCCAGCTGTGAGCCTATGATATCAAGCAAGTTATGTCATTCTAAAATACAATGGTGGGACAGACAGTGGATATTCCCTTTTCAAAAGGGAGGAAACAGGAAAGAAGAAAGGGGTAATAGGTTCCAAGTTAGTCCCAACCCAAGAAGCCAAGCAACATTAAATCTTGAGGCATTAGAATAATCTTCTTTGACTCCATGGTCTGCCTTCTGCATGCAATAGGGACAGGGTTGAGCCCCATGTCTTCTGGGAGCTTTGCCTCCATGGCTTTAGTAGGAGCAGCCCATGCACCAGCTCTCACATGTTGGCATCATATGTTTGCGGCTCTCTCAGGCAGGAATTGCACATTGGTAGCTCTAGTGGCCTACAGTCTTGGGGGTGGCCCTGCCCCCACAGCTCCACTAGGCATTGCCCTTTTAGGGGCTCTCTGCTGTGTCCCTGCTCCATACCTCTTCTAGGCACTGTCCTTGTGGTGACTCTCTGAGCTGATCTCACACTTCTGGCAGTTCTCTGCCTGAGCCTTAAGGTTCTCTGTGACCTCCTTTGAAATCTTCATGGAGACAGCCATGACTACAGGCTATCTGTAGTCTTAGCACCACATGGACACCACCAAGGTTTGCTGTTTATAATCTCTGACACTGCACCTGGGCCTGCTTGAGCCACAGCTGGTGTGGCTAAGGAATGCTGAGCCAGATGTGTAGAGCAGAAAGTTGAGGTGGCCCTAGGCAGCAAGCCCTGAGGTCCCATGGGCACCCTGGGCCCCTCCCTTGAAACTGTTCTGCCCTGAAGGCCCTGGCACTCTGAGCCTGTGATAGGAGTGGTAGCCTCAAAGATCTTGAAATATCTTCAGGGTCACTCCTCCACTGTCTTGATGAGTAGCATCTGGCATCCTTCCACCCATACTAATCTCCTTATCAAACATTCACTTGGCCATAATCTAGGTATTCTCTCCTGAACTCACCTTTAGTCTTCACAACCTGGTTAGGCTGAAAATTTCCCAATTCTTTAAGTTCTGCTTTCTTTTTGATTACAAATTCCATCCTGAGTTAATTTTTCTCTTTTTGTATATTACTATAAACAGTAAATAGAAACATGTAGCACCTTCAGCACTTTAAGTATTTCTCACCCTAAATATCCTAGTTCATTGCTCACAGGTTCTGCCTTTCACAAAGCATTAGGACACAGCTGGAATTCAGCCAAGTTCTCTGCCACTTTAGAGCAAGGATGGCCTCTCCTCCAGTTTCTAGTAAGATATTCCTCATTTCCATTGAAGAACTCATCAGAATGGCTTTTAGTCTCCACATTTCTACCAGCCTTCTGATCATGATCACTTAGATAATCTCTAAGAATATGGAGACTCTCTCTCCGGCTCTCCTTGTCTTCTGAATCTTCATCAGAATTGCTTTTAATGCTCTGTTCATGGCAATCTAGACTTTTTCTAGGAAGCACTTCAAAACTGTTCTAGCTTTTACTCATTACTAGTTCCAAAGCAGCTTTTTACAATAACAGATATTTGTTATAGTGACACTCCACTTCTTAGTAACAATTTCTTAGTCCATTTCTGTTCCTATGCCAAAATACTCAGACTGAGTAATTTATGAATAACAGAAATCTATTTTCTCACACTTCTGGAGGCTGGGTAATCCAAGATTAAGGTTCTGTCAGATTCAGTGTCTGGTAAGGTCTCTACTTCCAAAAGGTTGCCTTGAACACGGTCTTCTCTGAAGGGAATGAACACTGTGTCCCCACATGGTGTAAGGGATGGAGAGGCAAAAAAGCCCTAGCTAGCTGTACCCAGCCCTCGTGTAAGGACTTTTATAATACAGGCATGAGGGCAGATCCCTCATGACCTTAATCACTTCCTAAAGGTCCTACCTTTTAATATTGTTGCATTGGAGTTTAAGTTTCAACATGAATTTTGGAGGAGACATCAACAGTCCACAGCATAAAGCATTCCAGGGTTCATGTTTTATATTCTTGTCTTTCTCTTAGCACCAAACACAATGGTTTTTCTCAACTAAAGACAAATCTACCAAAAATTTACCCAGAACCCAAGGTTTGCTATACATGGAATAAAATTATCTTACCGGCTTTTTCTCTTGTTCTTTCTTGTGACCCTGCATTTCAGTCAAACTGTTACTTGCTCTCCATGCTTTTATTTGGTTGGAACATCTTACCACTGCACTTCTTTGTAAATATCCACTGATTATTCTAAATAAAACTTCCTACAATGCACACTACAAAAACTGGATGTGTTTTTCCTTTTTGAATTCTAACATCACTTCATTATTTGCTCTGCCATCCTTACCTCTCTAGTGTCCTTTCTTGGTCTTTGTTATTGGCTTCTTCTTTCCCCTATTCATCCTTTAAAGAATTCCTCAGAATTCTTCTCTATGCCCTATTCTCTTCTCACTCTATATACATTTCACTCTAAACACTGCATTTTTACACCTAAACACTGTAATGGCCTTCCAACTATTTTCCCCACCTCCAGTCTTGTTCCTCCTCAATGTAATTTTCACAATGCAGAACAATATTCTTAAATGTAAGCTTGATTATGGCAACTCTATTTTAAATATTCTTCAATGACTTCCCATAGAAGAAGAAAAAGTTAAAACTCCTTACACTCAGCTTATAAGGCTCTAACCTTGACACTCCCTACCTCCTCATTCTTCACTTGATACTCTAAACTTTAGCCATACTAAATTTTTGATCCTCAAAATTGCCATGTCTTACATCCCCAAAACTTTATGCATTCTGTATGCTACCTTCCAACACCAACACTCTTGCTTTTCATTCAGCTAACCCTTCATCAATGTTGAAGTCATTTCTTCCAGAAAATTTCCTGACACTACCTTCAACAATATGCATCCTTATCATGGCATCCAACCCTTATCACAACATACACCCATTATTTTAATTCCTTGTTTAACTGTCACCATTTTTAGATTTGACAAATATTGATTGAGAGCCCATTATGTTACAGATACTGTATTCTCTGTATACAGAATGTGGTAAATACAGAGTATTGTAGAAGCACATTCAGGATATAAAAGAAGTCCAAGAAATGTTTCTTAGTGATTTGTGTTCCCATCTATTTCCCTACTAAAATAAACCAGACAGTTTCATAATCATTTCTGAGTTCTTTGAATTGCCGAACATAGTATATAGTAGATAAATACTTCATATCATCAATGATTGGATTTTAAACACATACTAAATATTATTTGCATTGTAAGAGGCCACCAGCCAATACTTTGTACCCAGCAAGGTTTTCTTTGATATCACTTTGGATATAATGGAGTGTAAAAAGCAAAGAGACAAACTAATATAGTGGAAAATATAAAACTTAGAGTCAGAACACTGTGATTAATAATTCCGCCACTTACTAGGAATGTGTCCTTGGTCAAGACCCTTAAGCTCTCCAAGCCTCAATTTCCTCATCTGAAAAAGGCAATTACAAGAATGAAATGAGATAAAGAGAAAACAAAAGCATAAAATGTAAAAGGTTATCCAAAATGATGTCTATTATTATTATTGTTATTAAAGTCGATGCTGATCAAGTATCCTTATGACTGGTTATCCCAGCTCTGTAAGGCTACAGATTTCCAAAGTTCATCCATCTTCCCTTTACATCTAAGAGATAGACTATTGTACTTTAATAAATACATATTGATGGAAATGGTTAAAAATCACAAAGAAAAACAAGCCAAAAATTGAGTGAGTATATATTAACATATAAAAGAAACAAGACAGAAATACCAGCCTATGAAAGTCTATAATTTGAATGTATGGACCAGAAAAAAAAAATCAGGCCATGATTTTTTTTTTCTTAATGTTGACTGAAAGGGTAGGTAGGTGGCCCAAAAGAGTAATGCTGTGAACCATTTCATAGTAAAATGGTAACCCATTGAGCTAGAAAGCCAGGACATCTGGGTTCAAATACTAATTTAGCTACTAATTCAACCACTAATACCCAGGTGGTCTATCCACCCAATACTCGGGTCTTTCAGTTCCTTGATCTCCTTAGTTCCTATCATCTTTTTCTTCACTGTATCTCAGCTGCTCCCTCACAGGACTACAAATCTGAAAGGGCCACTCAACTTTGCCCAGTGTGCTACTATTCTCATTGCTTTCCGTCCTCCAAATGACTATTTTGTATCTTATCTTCTCCCCTTAAATCTCCTACCCAAATATTTCTCCTCACTCCTTACTAATCTTGCCTCCTACCTTATCTTCATCGAGAAAAAGTATCACTATCAGGTAGAAAGGTTTCACCTCTGACCACTGAATCTACCCATCTATCTGCATCTCTACCCATACTTCCTTTTTTCTTATTACTAGAAATTGTATGTTCATGTTCCTACCTAAGGCCAACTTCTATATATTCCCCGGATCCCATCCCCTCTCATTTTCTCAAAGTCTTCACTCCTAAAATATACACACTCTCTCTTATACCATCATTTCCATCCCCCTCTGTTGGATCATTCCTATTAGTCTAAAAATATGCTTAGGTATCCTTATCTTTAAGAACCCTACTTGGCCAGGCGCAGTGGCTCACACCTGTAACCCCAGCACTTTGGGAGGCCGAGGCAGGTGGATCACGAAGTCATGAGTTCGAGGCCAGCCTGGCAACATGGTGAAACTCCATCTCTACTAAAAATACAAAAACAACAACAACAAAAAAAAAAACTTAACCAGGTGTGGTGGTATGCACCTGTAATCCCAGCTACTCAGGAGCTGAGGCAGGAAATCACTTGAATCCAGGAAGTGGAGGTTACAGTGAGCCAAGATTGCACCACTGCACACTAGCCTGGGCAACAGAGCGAGACTCTGTCTCAAAAAAAAAAAAAAAAAGAACTCTTCTTTAACCATACATATTCCTTTATTACCGCTATTTCTTGGCTCTCTTTTATAGTAAACATCTTCAGATGTCTATAGTATTATGTCAGTTTCTTGACACCACATTTTCTCTTCGATGTACTAGTCAAGGCACATAAGTACTTTATGTTTCCAAAGTCCAATGCACAGATCTTTTCATTTAACTTGATTTCTAAGGATGATTTAATACTATTGGCCATGTTTTGTAGTCTTGGCTTTTATGTCACTGCATAAAAATCTTTAGATTTTCTTCCTACTTCATTGGCTATTCTTCTCCTTTGTTTGCTTCTTTTCCTCCGCTTTACACTAGTCACTGCAATGTTCTCTGTAAAGACACTTGCCCTAGGTAGTTTTCTATATGCTGGTGCCTCCCAACTTTGTATCTTTGGTCCCTTGTACTCTGCACAGAGCTCAAGACTCAACTTACCTTTGATTTCTAATAAGCATATAAAAATTAACCAAAGCAAAATAAAACTCCCCTCTGCCTCCACTGCTCTTTCCCATTTGGTAAATGGCACAACCATCCACACAAGCTCAAGACAAAAACCTAGGGGCTAGAAGTGACTCCTTTTTCATCACCTTTATATTCAAAACATCACAAAATCTGTACGCTCTGCCACTAAAATAGAGCTCACATGTATCTACTTCTCTGTTATTTTAACCCAAACTTGTCATTCTCTTTGGATTTCTGCAATTGTCCTCTGCTATAGATCTTGCTCCCCATCCCCTGTGATTTATTCATCACATAATAGGCAGAGGAAACCTTTTTACAATGTAAATCAGATCCTATCACTCCCTTTCTCCAAACTCACTACTGGTTTCTCTTCATACTTGAAATAAATTCCAAACTTCTTCCCTGGGTAGCTAGCTCTCCATGGCCTATTCAAAGCCCTACATGACTTGCCCCCTACCTCTCTCTCCAAGCTCAACTTGTACCACTTTCTCTACATTCTAGCTCCAGTGGTCTTTATGATGTTCCTTGAAGGAGCCAAGTTCTTTCCTACCTTAGGGCTCTTGCAATTGGAGTTTCCTTTAACTGTAGTGCTCTGATCCCAAATATTTCTATGGTTGTTTTTAAAAAAATATCACTAGGCATTCAGTCTAAACTAACCCCTCCCCCAATCTTTCTTCCTTCACTGTTTTACGTCTTCACTGTGCTTATCATTATCCAAAATTCCTTGCTTATATATTGTTTACCTATTTATTTTCTAACTTCCACTCACTAGAATTTAACTTCCTAAGAACAGGGATCTTTGCTAGTCTTTCTTACCATTGTATTCACAATGCCTAAAACACTGCCTGGCAAAGTAGGATATTCTTTAAAAAATACTTGATGAATGTCTTTCCCTAAGCAAGACACTTGACTTCTCTACTCAACTCACACTGGTGAGTTTACTACTGCTAGACTTAGCTCTGGGTCCAGGAAGAACAAAGGTGCTTAAGGTATGGCTTCTTCCGAAGCTCATCCATTCATTCCTCCAAAAGATATTTATTGAATGTATATTATACTATGTTCCAGGTACTGTTCAATCTCAGTGTTTACTAAACACTCTAGTAAAATAGGAATTGGTTAATCAACAGAAGTGTTTAAACAGGATGAGTATGAAAATAAGTATAAAATGAGAAGTACTATAAAAATGATGTTTTATATGTTACTATTAAAGCACCTGCCTATTTCCTTTTGTCTGGTAATTGGCAGGACCTTATGACAAGAGCCAACGGAAAAACAGCAGTATAAATTCTGGTACTCTAGAAGCCCAGACTTCAGCACTATGCAATATATTCACACAACAAAACTGAACTTGTACCAACTAAATCTGTATTGATTTTTAAAAGTAAGTTAAAAAAATTCTGGTACTCACAGAGGACAATAAATATGAATGCCCTTTTCATAGGCACAAAGTCACTAAAATATTTGGGCATGAATTCTCTAGGCGTGACAATATTAAGTGTTTTTTCACGCTTCTGTTACACAAATAATATTTATCTCTATGGAAAATCAAAGAGTGGGGTGTGGCCTCTCTCAGTGCCAACTGGGCCAATTGTCTCCCTGCATCACCAAATCTGATCTTTCATAGGCTCTAGGACACCCATAGAGGGGAGTAAGGGACCTGGTTATGGTACTACAGAGCTCTTGTAACACACACAGTATGCATACAACTATCCTTTTTCCTTCAAAAGCATTAGTCTAAAGCTGGGATTCCCAACCCGTGGGCAGCACACAGGTACAGGTTTGTGACCTGTTAGGAACAGTCCACATAGCAGGTGAGCCGGGCTAGAGGATTACCGCCTGAGCTCCACCTCCTGTCAGATCAGTGGAGGCATTATTCTCACCGTGCACACATGATTGTGAACTGCGGATGCGAGGGATCTAAATTGCGGCTTCTAATAGGAATCTAATGCCTGATGATCTGAGATGGAAGTTTCATCTCATCCCCCACTCCCCTTTCCCCTGCCCCGAATTGTCTATGAAACCAGTCCCTGCTGCCAAAAAGGTTGGGCACTGCTGGAAGTGTTTGTCCACTAGGTTAAAACCAAGAGGAGTAAACAGGCTTGAGGGGCATGGGGGTGGGTAGGTGGGGGAAGAGAGCCTTCTCAGGATCTGCAACCAATCCCAGAACACATCTCCAATCACAGGAGCATGTGAAGGTTTATTCGCAGAAATCTACCATTTGTAAAATAGTCTACGCTTAATAAAATTAATTTTGCAGTTAATCTTGACACAACTGTTTTTTTCTTCCGGCGAATATTTATAAAATAGGAAAAAAGAAGAGAGAACAAAGAGAGATGTAGGATGAAGGAGTAAGGAAATGAGTCAGGGAGAGGAGAGACAACGTCTGTGGCTGTTTCCTCAGCATCTGGGAGAGGGGCCCAAGCATCCCATTGAACTAAGCGGGAGAAAAGGCCCTCCTGACGCCTACTGCAAGGAAATGACCGCGGGAGACCCGGGACTAGCGCCAAAGGGCTTGGAAAGGCGGAGTTAAGAAAAATGGGCCGCACCTACAACTCCTTTCGCAGCCCTCGCTGGCCGGGAGCGGCCCAGGAGCCTAGTAACGGTCGCGTTGCCACGCGCCACCCGGGTGGGCAAAGTGGTGAAGAGAACGCCTCGCCCGACCTCCGCGCAGGTACGGGGCCGACGCAGCGGCAGCGCGTTTAAGTGACGTCTTAGCCGCCCGCGCAGGCAGAGGCCAGAGTTCTGGGGTTCCTGGGACTGTCTGGTGTGTTTCCGGTCTATTGAACTGAAACAGACGTCCTTTCGACCTCTCTTCTGAATACTGACCTATCGGGTTGTGGATATCCAGGGACAGAGTTGACATCACTGGGCATTTTAGCCAAAAAGCAGTGCTCGGGACTGCATGTGCCAGAAGTAAACTTGTCAAAACTCAGATCGTGTTGCCCCTAAAGTCAGCTTAGCCGGGCGCGGTGGCTCACGCCTATAATCCCAGCACTTTGGGAGGCCGAGGCGGGTGGATCACGAGGTCAAGAGATCGAGACCATCCTGGTCAACGAGGTGAAACCCCGTCTCTACTAAAAAGACTTTTGCTAGGAGTCTGTTTGCCTCCAGGGCACTACTCTTGGTGCTCTAAAAGGAATGGGCTCCTGGAGAGATAAGTGCTTTAGGGTCCACATAAGGAAGATGTAGGGCACATCAACAAATGAAGCTTTGGAATTCTCACGAGGTCAGAGGGCTCAGGCTGGATTTGGGTCAGTCAACTAGAAATATATTACATGTTCCCCAAATGCCATGAAGCAATTCCCACCTGTTACAGAGAGCTACATAAATGATTCATATAAAAATATAATGTTCTGAGACCTTAAAAAAATACTGTGGTTCATTGAGAGACAATATAATGAAAATTTACCAATAAAAACCATTTAAACAATCATCTGATAACCTTTCTAATAAAAATTAAGTGTTTTAAACATAAGTAAATTTATTATATTTGCAACATCATGGAAAGCAAAAGCTTTTGAGGAGTAAGGAGAATCTTAACTGACAGCAATTTTTAAAACTAAATTTGACATGATACAGAAAAGTTTTAAAACTTTCTACATAAATAGTTTCATACTTCTGAAAGTACTTCAACAAACATAAAAATTTGGCCAATGATCTATTTAGTATGATTTCAGTGCCAACTGTCTTTTCTAATTCTCTTCATCAGTCTCAAGTGCCAGTCACTTTCTATGCTCGGGCTTTACTGTTTTCAAAACTTTGCTAATATGCCAGCCTCCCACCTAGTTGTTCCCCTCTTCACCTTATTCCCTAATATTACCCCATCCATCCAGAGCCTCTCCACTATTGAAAGTCTTGTTCAAGTATCAGCTCCTCTAAGATTTCTTCAACTTCTACACTAAGAACACTTTTGAATTACTTGCAATATAGCTATTTGTACATATCTTATTTCCTTCTCAGGTTCTTAAAGGCAAGTATCATGTCTTATTCATATTTGTATTGCTCACAGTGTCAATTTTCCCCTAGAATTCAAATTCTATTGAAAATTGAGCCTTTATTCCCTAGTAGGTGGTACAAGACCTGGCACATAGTAGGCATGTTATAATATATTCTGAGTGAGGGAGTAAATGGATTTTAAAACAAGCTCCATGAAGGCAGGGATTTGTGTTTTATTCATTGCAAAATGAATATTTGAATATAAACATATGCTTTTTTTAAGGCTTAGCATTCATTATGTACAACAAAATTCTTCAATCTACATAGCATCATAAAAGTCAAACATGAAGTATGCCTTTCACCCAATGAATTCAGTAGATGATATATCTTTCTGAAAATAATACATCCCCCAAAACTGCAGTACAATTTACAAGAATCAAAATAAAATAGATGTTTATATTAAAATAGTTTGTTTTCTTCTTTGTATTTTTCTGTGTTCTAAATTTTCTACAATGAAAGTGTGTTATTTTATAATCAGAAGAAGTAATCAATACTATTTTTAAAGAATGTAGTAGATGAGATCATTTGCAAATATACACCTGAGGTAATTCTGAGTACATCAAGATCAATCAAGGTGACTTGGAGTTAATACCAAAGAGAAAAATGAAATATGACACTTCTGTCAGGGACTGAATTATGTCCTTCCCTACAAATTCATATGTTGAAGCCCTAACCTCCAATGTGATGTATTTGGATATGGGGATTTGCCAGGCTGGAGTGCAGTGGAGCGATCTCAGCTCACTGCAACCTCTGCCCCCTGGGTTCAAGCAATCCTCATGCCTCAGACTCATGAGGGTAGGACCTTCATGATGTGATTAGAGTGCCTTTATAAGAAGAGAAACCAGAGAGCTTGCTTACTCTTTCTTGGCAACATGTGAGAAGGTGGCCATTGGCAAGCCAGGAAGAGAGACTTCATGAGAGCCCAACAATGCTGGCATCCTGACCATGAAATTCCAGACTTTAATAGAAATATGTTTCTGTTGTGTAAGCTACTCAGTGTATGGTATTTTGTTATAGCAGCCCAAGCTGATTTAGATAGACTAAGTGGACTAAGATCTGAACTGCTGTGTGGCAAGTAGTTTTCTGATACTGAGAATTCTATTCCTCTCAGATTTAGTCAGTAAATGTTTATTAAATGTCTACTATGTTCTATGCCCTGTGAAAAATGCTGATGTTCAAAGATAATTAAGACAAGGTTCCTACCCATAGGGACTGATTTTATAATAGACAACCATGTAAATAAATGGAAAAAAAGTGTTATATGTGCTCTGACAGAAGTATGTATAAGGGATCCAAAGGTTACAGTAATTGTTTCTATCTGTGGTTTAAGTGCGGCTAGGTTTGGTTGGTCAGTACTCTATGAGGTTAACTCTAATTTCACCAATGAAGTAAAGAGATGTGGTTTTCAATGTGGTGATAAAGTCTGGCCTTCACATGGTGAGCCCTGCTGAATGGTCAGCCTCTGTCATTCTTCACTGCACCATCTCCATGTTATGTAATAGCAACATAGTCTTATAGCAATTAATAAATTCCTACAAAGAGCTTCCAGGAATAGGCACAAATTTCAGAGATTCAACAGAGGAAGTCAAAAGGCCAGCACTGGGCAGTCACAGAGATTTAGATGGTGGCTGCCCTCTTAGAGGTAGAAAATAACTTGTTGCATGCCCTGTAAAATGAAACAGGTATTGGCAATGGCTTGAAGTGCCCTTCAATCAATTCTATACTCTGTGGACTTCCATTTCTAATTTTCCTTGGGGCTTTAAATGTTTTCAATAGCATTCTGATTTAGTTATACTAACTGTATTTTGTATAAGTTAATAAGTATTCCACGCTGTTACTTGGAGAAAATGCCACTGATGACCTGGGAAACAGCATGAAGTGTAACACCTTTTAGTCTCACATCCCTTTTGCTGGGTAAGTCCTAATCAGCCCTCAGCCAATGTCCTAATTTCTCTGGGAAGCTGTGCCTAAACTCCACCAGCCTTGAATTGAGTGCTTCTGCTATGAGCTCCCTGGAACCCCTGTAGTAAATGTATAATAGCACTTATCATATTGTTTTGCATTCTCTTGTTTAATTGTCTGTCTTCTCTACTGGGCTGTTAAATTTTTAAGGACAGGAACAATATGAATCTTGATGATGTGCCTGGATCTCCAAAGCTTTCAGTAAGTATTTTTTGAATGCAGCTACTTTCAGAGCCTGCAAAAATAGAGGACCAGATGAGTATTAAGTTTATAGTGCCCCCAGCAAAGTGTACCTAACCAGTGAAGTTCAGTTCAAAATACTTATCTGACCTTTTGTATAAGTTAATCAAGTCCAAATTAAGATCATGAAACAGTCACGGGGGGAGAGTTCAAAACCATAGTAAAGAATTTAGATTATATTTTAAGTGCAAGGAAAGGACATTGGAGAGTTTCAACAATATAAATGATTATGTATATATTTACATTATTCATATATGTATTTATATTATAATTCACAATTAAATATTTGTTTAATATTTGATATTTTAAAATATTTGATAAGTTTATATTTCAAAATTATATAAAATTTTCTAAAATATATTTAGAAATATCTTAAAATATATTAAATTATATCTCATATGAACCTAACACCTAGCACTAAAAATTGTTGAGCAGATGCCAGAGAAGGGAAGGGGTGTTATGAGCTAATTAAAAATCTGAAATTATATCTCTTTATTGATCATTTTCATCAAATAATATATACATATACAGATATATTATTCCAAGAATTCCTTAGCCTGTCTTTGTGAATAGTTTTACTTAGGTAAAATTGATATACAATAAGCTACACATATTTAAATTGTGCAATTTGAGAAGTTTTGATATGTACATTTGTGAATTCATCATTAGAATGTAATGATATTCATTATCTGCAAAAATTTCTTCATGACCTGTTTTAATTTCATTTTCTCACTCACCTTCCTAATCTGTTTACTACTGATCTGCTAACTTTTACTATTGATTATTTCTGTCACTATAGATAAGAATTTTATCTAATGGAATTACTCAGTATGCACGCTTTAGTCTGACTTCCTTTGCCCAGCATCCATCCATGTTGTAACAAGTTCAATAGATTATTTCTTTTTTATTGTTGAGTGGTGTTCCATTGGAAGGGTATATCACCATTTGTTTATTCATTCATTTGTTTGACATTTGGATTGTTTTCAGATTTTTGCATTTACAAATAAAGATGCTTTTAACAACTGTGTACAAAAAAAAAAAGAGCACAAACACTAAAGGAGTACAGCACCATAGGGTAACCAAAATCAGGTGGACATAAAATTGAAGGTCATTTAGAAGAGGAGAATATTAAACTAGTTTTGAATAGAGGTGAAAGGTATGGTGGATAAGGCTTGAACAGAAGTCTAATGAAGAGAGAAATGGACAGGCTTTATTTATGCAGATCAGCTTGTTGGGATTAGGACATTCATAATTCATTCATCTAATATGTATTTAATATCTACCTCAAGATTAAAATGACCTTTGAATTCTAGGTCAAGGAGTTTAGATAGGATATGACAAGTATATAATAAATACTTCAGGTACACAGATAACATGGTAAAAACTGTAAACTTCATGTGAATCTGATTATTTTAGCAACTACACAGAAGATGACCTAGAGTGAAGAGTAACTTATGAGTGATACACAAAAGCAGAGATGGCCTGTTACAAAGTAGGACAAAATATGATGCAGAGAAGCCTTTCTTCTAATATTTTTTCTGTTGGCATGTAACAATTTTGGTTTAAGGCAATGCCTTTCAAAATCTTTTGTTTACATGTAAGAATATGCTACTAAGTGATGGTAACAGCCAACACAGTGGAAGCTCTGGCCCCCAAAATATGACGTTTTGTTCCTCCTAGGAGTATGAATGCTTAGCTAGAGACAACACTTAGCTGCCTCCCAGCTTAATATGATCATCACCAATAAGTGTAGGAGAAGAGACATGTCCAACTTCCATATCACTTCCTCAAAAATAAACTGCTTTACTTGCATTTTCCTTCTTTGAGAGCTAGAATGGAGATATGGTAGAGATCCATTTTTAACCCATTTATGCCTAGTGTTCCATTATTGGAATTCTATGCTTGTGGGAGTTATTTATATCCTACTGCTCAAGGTCATTGCCAAGGTCTTATTTTTCACAAAAAAAATTTTGCAACCTCTGGCATAAATAGGTTAAGCCATGTCCTAAGCTAGGGCATGGCAGAGCTTCAGGACAGAAAGACATGGGACTCTGAGCAGGCCTCATGAGCCATGAACAGGGTAACCCTGTTAGTATCAAACAACCAGCCAGTTTCATTAGAGGGAAATAGAATTCTATTTTCTTTTAGGCACTGTATTTTTCCTTTCTTCATTGTGGCACATTACCCTAATGTAATATTCATGAGTCTGGCATAGATTTGAAACTTATCTATCTCCTACCTAGAAATGGGAAGAACCTAAAGATACGGGTCATAAGAAACAAATTTAAAAAAGGGCTGGCTAAGGGCACTCCTTAGGGGAAGGTCGACTCACACAGGCCACTAAAATAAAGGAACCTGGATGGTCAGCTAGGGGGCAGGATACAGTTTTTTGACATCCAGAGGAGGCAAGAGGATGAACCAATGAACATACTTCATGTACTTTACAATTTTGGTGGGACCAATTAGTTACAGTAATTCAGAGAAAGGTACTAAGGGAGGTAGAAATGAAGAAGAGGCAGATTATTAGGGAAAATGAGGGTAGAAATTAATGAGAGATGGCATTATGATGTTTAACAACAGAAACAAAATAAAAGAAGAAGAGCCAAAACCAATTCAAGGCATCAGAGACTGCGCAAATATGAATCAGGAAACTGTGAAAGTTAAAAGAGTAATCCGAGCTGAAGAGGATATTGAAACTGGTGTTTCCCATGTTAACTGTAAACTGTGGTAGTACATTAAAGTAGATATGTCCCTATGCAAATTAAAATAGTTAATAAAGGGGTGTTTGAAAAGAAATGGTAGAGAGATTAGGATTGGTGATGTAGACCATTACCACCCACATGGAAAGAGTAAGGGCTAAAAATGCTGTTTAAAGAAATAGCTACACTTGGTTCTATTACATTTTAAGTTTAAACATTACGTTTTTCAATATGCATCTTGAAAAAAGTAGCAGCTTTTTAACCATTATGTTCAGCATTCTTTTCAACTTTAAACTTGCACAGAAGTCTCTCCTTGAACTTCTTCATCATTATTTGATGTTCAACTTTCTGGAGAAGCTTGGGGCCTAGTAAACCAATAAGTAGACTTCCAATTGGGGCTGTGATGAGGATGGACAAAAATGCCACTGTCAACACATCCATTCCATAGTCTTCTAATTGTTTCTCTCCATGTGACCTTGCTGTGTCCAAAGCCACAGATCCTATTGCAGCCTATAAAAGTTTAAGAATAAAGATGGAATCATTATAAGACAAGCACATATAAAAAAAGTGATTTTTTTTTATTGTTTGCAAAAACAAATTGATTGTTCTTTTGCTCAACTAAGAAAGTTGTTTTAGTCTTCTTTTTGGTTTTGTTTTGTTTGACTTTTTTAGATACCGGGGCTTGCTGTGTTGCCCAGATTGGTCTTGAACTGCTGGCCTCAAGTGATCCTCCCTCCTTAGCATCCGAAAGTGCTGGGATTACAGGTATGAGTGACTGTGCTCAGCCTGGCTGGTTCTGATAATCTAAAAACTCTTTCTGCCCTTGCATGGGGATATACTAATGACTCATTTGTACCTATCTGTGTAAGGTAGGGTTACATGAACATCAAGAAAATACATTTCAAAACACAAAGCAAATCCAGACTCACAATATTAGTTAAATATAATATGAAGTTCTATGTACTAAATTTTTCCTGAATAAAGATGAAAATTACTGGTCATCTCCTTTTATCTTTAGGAATTTGGAATTAAAGAATAAGATGAAGAACATGCAGTGATACCTACTGAAAACTGTTAAATTTTAAATAAATACATACTGCTTTAGAGCTTAAACGCATTGTCAAACATCATAAAACATGAAAATAGTGGACACCTTGACAATCTGAAGTTGATCTTATTAGGTATTTGGTCAACTCTTTGCCTCACAAGTTGGTGAAATGTTTTATTTAGAATGTATCTATTGGAAAATATTATGAAAACTTTCAGTTTCTTTAGAGGCAAAATGCAATATTATCAGTGCAGATGGGAAAAATGTAATTAATCTGGTTATACCTTATTCCACAGAGCACAACAATGTTAGCCTCTAAGACAATGAAAAATAGTCTACATCTGACACAATGGCAGAAACTACTAGTTGCTCACAAAATGCTCCTTTCCCTTCTATAATAGAAATCCTGAAGTTTGGCTGGTCACATTGTTGTCCAGAGACCTTTTTGTAGAACTCTTAGCCATTATGTTTCAGACATTTTTGTAAATCAAATTGGGGAAAAACAACTCTGGAGTAATGCCCAAATGAACAGAGCATAACTGAAATCTGGAATATAATTACTGAGCATACACGTCCCCCAAAGCCTCCTAAATGAAAAACACTTGATTTTAATTCCTTAAAATTTAATTTTAATTCCTCAAAATTCCTTAGAAATTTGAATATTTATTTATAAAATAATCTGGGACAAAACAGTTAAATGTTGCTTGATGTAATCAGTCTGAAAATATACAGTACAACCAAAGATACATCACATTTGCAACAAATCATAATCTATACAGTTCTAACTTAATTAGCAATCATAGGTATTCAAACAAATGCATGGTCAACAAATTCAAGCACCTATCTATAAATGCTTTATTTATCACATGTTTATTATAATGCACAAATTTTCAGTCAAGTAATTAATAACAACTAATAATCTAGGAAATCAATAAAGCCCTTTCTGAATTTTTTTTCAAAAAATCTTTTCTCCATTATATATAAAGACTCTGGTCAAGCCCAACTGATCATCAATCATATTAACATTAAAGTATCACCAAATATTAAGGTGAGACATGCTATTTCTATTTTACTCCCTTATTAACATGAAAAGAGTTAACAACGCTTTCTTTGGGTGACTTGGAGAGGGTTGACTGATGAAATTCAAACTCTTCTCTCCAGCTACTACTGCTTTCTAGTAGAATAGGGATTTACTGGATTTTTACTTGTACCCTGGTTATCTAAGGAAATTTAATGAGCTGTCACATTTAAAGAATTAATATACCAAAAATACAGCTTTTAAATAATAGATTAGGATAAACTCTTTGCATAAATCCAACTTCAACTATTTATTTTTTGCTAAATTTAAATAAGCATTCTTATTTAATATTTAAAGGTATCATACAGAAATAGCAGTTACAATGCTAAGCCATCCTAGCCATCATACCTGAACTGTGGCCTTTGGAAGCCATGCAAAAGATATAAATATCTTTTCCTTTAAGTTAAAACCAGCAAAACACACCATCAGAAATGTAGTCAAAATTCGTATTAATACTGCAGTGCCTACAGTGGCAACACAAAGGCCTGTAAGAAATGTTCAATTTTTAGAAATAATAGGAGAGAAACTGCATCTCATGGTTACTAATTCAAAATAACCATCAATAATTTTTAAAACATTAAAAAATTACAAATACAAATGTTTAGGCAGAATATATCAAAACAATAGTATGGATCAATCAGGCTATTTGTTTAAAATAAGGTGTTCCCCTAGCTTAAAATCAGAAATTAGCATATTTGAATTCTTATACAGAAGATTTGAATATTATATATGTCTTATGCTTTACAGCAAGAACCACACTCTTTCATGTGTATAAGAAGAATTTATTAAATGATGATTAAATGATAAGTAATAAGCTTTAAGTACTGGGTACTCATAAATGTATAATGTATAGACTTTGCCTCAAAGTCAGAGGAAGACAGAAATAAACAACTAATTCATAGACTATACAGTAAGTGAAGTATAGACAAACTGAGGACATAAAAGAGGGGAAAAATAATATTTTCACCCACAAAGTCAAGAATTCTTTACAGGATATAAGACCAGAAGTGACATCCAAAACATTTATGAGCTGGTATGGAGGGAATTAGCCAGTCAGAGCTGGCTGGCCATGACCAAACAGAATAGACACTGGCAGTCTCCAACTGTTTCACCATACTGATGTGTGCACTGGTCCCAATTATACCTAGTTAACATATATAGCTACTCCATTTAGTCCTGTAGAACTCTTTTCTGATACAGACGAGTTGATCATCATTTGCCAAACAAGGGATTGTGACTAGTGCTGATGCATGCTACTAGACCTAAGAGTGGCACGGCTAAGGTGACTCTTGAGTATTAGGGTGTTTTTTTTTTAAAGTAACATTTGTTGAGTGTTTACTCTGTGCCAAGTGCTGTACTAAGATTTAAATATATTATTTTGGGTTGTTGAGTGTTTACTCTGTGCCAAGTGCTGTACTAAGATTTAAATATATTATTTTACTTAATTCTTACAACCTGTGGGAAAATTACTTTATAGTTGAAAAAACCAGAAGCTCGGAAAGGATAAATACTTTTCTCAAATTCAAAGGCCTGGTAAAACATCAGGCAGACATTTCAGGAGGATCTGTTGTAAATTTGCCATAGAGTTTTCTTATGGGAAAGTTTTGTAGCTCTTTGTTGAAAGGTATTTTTCCAAGGTTTGAAAGTATTCAAAAATATCTGTAGCCTGAAGTACAAGATAAAGAGTTGATACCATTCCCAGAAGGAAATACTGAAAGTTTGAGAAGAGGATCAGAAGGAAGTTTTAGTTGAGTTTGAAGTTTAACAGGACATACAAGTGGTACTGTCTAATCAACAACTGGATATACTGATTTAGAAATAAATATTTTGGAATTATACAGTTTATAGTTGATGTCACTGGTATAGGTTAGAGAAGTGATATACAGCCAGCAGCACAGAAGGCTTTGGAAAGAACTTTGATAAAGGGCAGAGTTTAAGCTACATATTGTGTAAGGAAAGGCTCAAACAGCATTGGGAAATATGAAGTTTAAGAACTTGATATAAAGGAGGGTTAAAAAGTCAAGAGCAGCAGATGCTGCTGAGAGAGAAAGGAAAACAAAGACTGGATTTAGCAATATTACCTTGGTAAGAGCTTGAAAGGTTGTGTGATAGGCAGAAGCTGGGCTAAAATGTATTGAGGAAGGAAATGAGAACTGAAGTAAAAAGGGAAGTAGAGTAACCTCTTTTGAAAAGTTTGAAAAGGGGGGGGACTCAAGATGGCGCTGTGAGAACAACCCAGGATTGGAGCCCGCGTTGAATTCGCAAACGGTGAGTCAGTGCTGCATTTCCAGACTGATCTTTGTTGCCCACAGAACGGGGAAACTCCCAAGTATAAAAAGACACAGGACGCCAGGCAGTAGGTCTGCCTGGCGAAGCCGGCAGCCGGGGCGGCGGCGGCCGGCCCTACCCAGCAATCCCCACAGGGCGCGCTTGTCCGGGTGCCTTGTTGAACCGGCAACCTGAGACTTGAGAGGGCTGGACTTGAGACTGAACGAGACTTGCACAGTAGCCCAGCCCAGGGGATTGCAGGGACAGATCGTTTGGGATACCCAGTGGGACGAACAAAACTGCGATTTCAAACTATCCCGGGCAGACGGTCCGAGACGCTCTGTGGGGGAGGGGCGTCCACCACTACGGAGGCAACCCGCCCCAACTGAGATACACGCCCACTGCTGACGCAGCCAGCCGTTGCCGAGGCAACCCGTCCCTACTGAGATACACGCCCACTGCTGACGCAGCCTGCCGTTGCTGAGGCAACACGCTACAACGAAGAGACTCCGCCGCAGGGCGTGGCGGAGACCACAGCAGAGCCGGCAGGAACAGCGCGAATCACACAACAGCAGGGCGGAGCCTCGGCAGCCAAACAGTGGCTAGTCTGCCTTTGAGCTGGGCAGGACACCTGATCGGACATCCAAAAATAAAGCCCAAACCCCTCAACACAGAGCATTTGAGAAAAAAAAAAAGGGTTGTTTAATGAGCTGTGTTGCAGCAGAATCAAACATAGCAGCCTAACAGCCCTGAATGAACAACAGAGTGCACAGCTCAGCAATTAAACCCCTATAAAGTACAAACTGTCTCCTCAAGCAGCTCCCTGACCCCTCTATATCCAAAAGACTGTCATTAGGCAGGCATCATCCTGGGACAAAGAGAGCAGAAAAAGAAACTGGTAGCATCCCTCGCTGTGCCACGGCTACTAGAGGTGCACCCCAGACAAGCAGGGTCTGGAGCGGACCTCAACAGTCATACAGCGAAGGGGCTAGACTGGTAGAAGGAAAACCAAGCAACAGAAATACTTCATCATCAACATTCTGGGTGTCCACTCAGAGACCCAAACGAAAAGTCAGCAACTACGCAGACGACCAGCGGACAAATCCACAAAGATGGGAAGAAACCAGCGCAAAAAGGAGGAAAACACCCGAAACTAGAACACATCGCCTCCTAGAAAGGACCAAGACTCCTCACCAGCAAGGGAACAAAGCTGGACGGAGAATGACTGTGACGAAATGACGGAATTAGACTTCAGAAGATGGATAATGAGAAACTTTTGTGAGCTAAAAGATCATGTATTAAATCAATGCAAAGAAACTAAGAACCTTGAAAAAAGATTTGAAAAAAGATTCGAGGAAATGATAACAAGAATGGATACTTTAGAGAGGAATATGAATGAATTAAAGGAGCTGAAAAACACAATACGAGAACTTCGCGAAGCAAACGCAAGTTTCAATAGCCGAATTGACCAAGCAGAAGAAAGAATATCTGAAGTCGAAGACCAACTCAATGAAATAAAACGAGAAACCAAGATCAGAGAAAAAAGCGCAAAAAGGAATGAACAAAGTCTCCAAGAAATGTGGGACTATGTGAAAAGACCTAACCTACGTTTGATAGGTGTACCAGAAGGGGACGAAGAGAATGAATCCCAGCTGGAAAATACTCTTCAGGACATCATCCAGGAAAATTTCCCCCACCTAGCAAGACAAGCCAACACTCAATTGCAGGAAATACAGAGAACACCACAAAGATATTCCGCAAGAAGAGCAACCCCAAGGCACATAATCGTCAGATTCAACAGGGTTGAAATAAAGGAGAGAATACTAAGGGCAGCCAGAGAGAAAGGTCGGGTCACCCACAAAGGGAAGCCCATCAGACTCACAGCAGATCTCTCCGCAGAAACACTCCAAACCAGAAGAGAGTGGGGGCCAATATTCAACATTCTTAAAGAAAAGAACTTTCAACCCAGAATTTCATATCCAGCCAAACTGAGCTTCAGAAGTGAAGGAAGAATAAAATCCTTTGCGAACAAGCAAGTACTCAGAGATTTTGTCACCACCAGGCCTGCTTTACAAGAGCTCCTAAAAGAGGCACTACACATAGAAAGGATCAATCAGTACCGGCCATTCCAAAATCACACTGAATGCTAAAGAGCTTCAACATAATGAAGAATCTACAACAACTAACAGGCAAAACAGCCACTTAGAATCAAAATGGCAGTATCAAATTCACACATAACAATATTAACCCTAATTGTAAATGGACTAAATGCACCAATCAAAAGACACAGACTGACAAATTGGATAAAAATCCAAAACCCATCAGTGTGCTGTATCCAGGAAACCCATCTCACATGCAAGGATACACAAAGGCTCAAAATAAAGGGATGGAGTAAGATTTACCAAGCTAATGGAAAGCAAAAAAAAGCAGGAGTTGCAATTCTCATCTCTGATAAAATAGACTTTAAAGCAACAAAGATCAAAAGAGACAAAGAAGGCCATTACATAATGGTAAAAGGATCGATACAACAAGAAGAGCTAACGATCCTAAACATATATGGACCCAACACAGGAGCACCCAGATACATAAGGCAAGTTCTTAATGACTTACAGAAGGACTTAGACTCCCACACAATAATAGTGGGAGACTTTAACACTCCACTGTCAATACTAGACAGATCAACCAGACAGAAAATCAACAAGGATACCCAGGGCTTGAACTCAGACCTGGAGCAAGCAAACCTGGTGGACATTTACAGAACTCTCCACCCCAAATCCACAGAATACACATTCTTCTCAGCACCACATCACACCTACTCTAAAATTGACCACATAATTGGAAGTAAAGCACTGCTCAACAAATGCAAAACAACTGAAATCATAACAAACAGCCTCTCAGACCATAGTGCAATCAAGTTAGAACTCAGAATTCAGAAACAGACCCAGAACCGCACAGCTTCATGGAAACTGAACAACTGGCTCTTGAATGTTGACTGGGTAAACAACGAAATGAAGGCAGAAATAAAGAAGTTCTTCAAAACCAATGAGAATGAAGACACAACGTGCCAGAACCTCTGGGACACATTTAAAGCAGTCTCTAGAGGAAAGTATATAGCAATAAGTGCCCATATGAGGAGAATGGAGAGATCCAAAATTGACACCCTATCGTCAAAATTGAAAGAGCTAGAGGAGCAAGATCAACAAAACTCAAACCCAGCAGAAGACAAGAAATTACTAAGATCAGAGCTGAGCTGAAGGAGATTGAGACACGAAAAAACCCTTCAAAAATCAATAAATCCAAGAGCTGGTTTTTTGAAAAGATCAACAAAATAGACAGACCACTAGCCAGATTGATTAAAAGAAAAGAGAGAACAACCAAATAGATGCAATAAAAAATGATAAAGGGGAAATCACCACAGATTCCACAGAAATTCAAACCATCATCAGAGAATATTACAAACAACTCTATGCGCATAAACTAGTAAACCTGGAAGAAATGGATAAATTCCTGGACTCCTGTGTCCTCCCAAGCCTAAACCAGGAGGAAGCTGAAACTATGAATAGACCAATAACAAGGTCTGAAGTTGAGGCAGCAATTAAGAGCCTACCTCACAAAAAAAGCCCAGGTCCAGATGGGTTCACAGCCGAATTCTACCAGACACACAAGGAGGAGCTGGTACCATTCCTTCTAAAACTATTTCAAACAATCCAAAAAGAGGGAATCCTTCCCAAATCATTTTATGAGACCAACATCATCCTGACACCAAAACCCGGCAGAGACCCAACGAGAAAACAAAACTTCAGGCCAATATCCATGATGAACATAGATGCAAAAATCTTCAATAAAATATTGGCAAGCCGATTGCAACAGCAAATCAAAAAACTTATTCATCATGATCAAGTAGGATTCATCCCAGGGATGCAAGGCTGGTTCAACGTACGCAAGTCTATCAACGTAATTCACCACATAAACAGAACCAAAAACAAAAACCACATGATTATCTCAATTGACGCAGAGAAGGCATTTGACAAAATTCAACAGCCCTTTATGCTAAAAACCCTCAATAAACTCGGTATCGATGGAACGTATCTCAAAGTAATAAAAGCTATTTATGACAAACCAACAGCCAATATCATACTGAATGGGCAAAAACTGGAAGCATTCCCTTTGAAATCTGGTACTAGACAAGGATGCCCTCTCTCACCACTCCTATTCAATATAGTACTGGAAGTTCTAGCCAGAGCAATCAGGCAAGAAAAAGAAATAAAGGGTATTCAAATAGGAAAGGTGGAAGCCAAATTGTCTCTATTTGCAGACGACATGATAGTATACCTAGAAGACCCCATCGCCTCAGCCCAAAAACTCCTGAAACTGATAAACAACTTCAGCAAAGTCTCAGGATATAAAATCAATGTGCAAAAATCACAAGCATTCGTCTACACCAATAACAGACTTAAAGAAAGCCAAATCAAGAGCGAACTGCCATTCGCAATTGCTACAAAAAGAATAAAATACCTTGGAATACAACTCACAAGGAACGTAAGGGACCTCTTCAAGGAGAACTACAAACCACTGCTCAACGAAATCAGAGAGGACACAAACAGATGGAGAAACATTCCATGTTCATGGTTAGGAAGAATTAATATCGTGAAAATGGCTATATTGCCCAAAGTAATTTACAGAATCAACGCTAACCCCATCAAGCTACCATTGACTTTCTTCACAGAACTGGAAAAAACCACCATGAACTTCATATGGAACCAAAAGAGAGCCCACATAGCCAAGTCAATTCTAAGCAAAAAGAACACAGCGGGGGGCATCACACTACCGGATTTCAAACTATACTACAAGGCTACAGTAATCAAAACAGCATGGTACTGGTACCAAAACAGAGATATAGACCAATGGAACAAAACAGAGGCACCAGAGGCAACACAACATACATACAACTATACAATCTTTGATAAACCTGACAAAAACAAGCAATGGGGAAAGGATTCCATGTTTAACAAATGGTGTTGGGAAAACTGGCTAGCCATGTGCAGAAAGCAGAAACTGGACCCCTTCCTGACACCTTACACTAAAATTAACTCCAGATGGATTAAAGATTTAAACATAAGACCTGGCACCATAAAAACCCTAGAAGGAAATCTAGGCAAAACTATCCAGGATATAGGAGTAGGCAAGGACTTCATGAACAAAACACCAAGAGCATTGGCAACAAAAGCCAAAATAGACAAATGGGACCTAATGAAACTCCACAGCTTCTGCACGGCAAAAGAAACAGTCACTAGAGTGGATCGGCAACCAACAGAATGGGAAAAAATTTTCGCAGTCTACCCATCTGACAAAGGGCTGATATCCAGAATTTACAAACAACTCAAGCAGATTTACAGGAAAAAACAAACAAGCCCATTCAAAAGTGGGCAAAGGATATGAACAGATACTTTACGAAAGAAGACATATATGAGGCCAACAATGATATGAAAAAATGCTCATCGTCACTGGTCATCAGAGAGATGCAAATCAAAACCACATTGAGATACCATCTCACGCCAGTTAGAATGGCGATCATTAAAAAATCTGGAGACAACAGATGCTGGAGAGGATGTGGAGAAAAAGGAACACTTTTACACTGTTGGTGGGAGTGTAAATTAGTTCAACCATTGTGGAAGACAGTGTGGCGATTCCTCAAGGCCTTAGAAATAGAAATTCCATTTGACCCAGCAATCCCATTACTGGGTATATATCCAAAAGACTATAAATCGTTCTACTATAAGGACACATGTACACGAATGTTCATTGCAGCACTGTTTACAATAGCAAAGACCTGGAATCAACCCAAATGCCCATTGATAATAGACTGGATTGGAAAAATGTGGCACATATACACCATGGAATATTATGCAGCAATCAGAAATGATGAGTTCGTGTTGTTTGTAGGGACATGGATGAATCTGGAAAACATCATCCTCAGCAAACTGACACAAGAACAGAAAATGAAACACTGCATATTCTCACTCATAGGTGGGTGATGAAAAATGAGAACACATGGACACAGAAAGGGGAGTACTAAACACTGGGGTCTATTGGGGGGAAAAGGGGAGGGCCAGTGGGAGGGGGAGGTGGGGAGGGATAGCCTGGGGAGAAATGCCACATGTGGGTGAAGGGGAGAAGAAAAGCAAAGCACACTGCCATGTGTGTACCTACGCAACTGTCTTGCATGCTCTGCTCATGTACCCCAAAACCTATAATCCAATAAAAAATTAAAAAAAAAAAAAAAAAAAAGTTTGAAAAGAAGACAAAAGAGGTAGCATGGTAGAGATGGGAGGAAGTGAAATAGAGAAATTATATATATATATATACATATAATATATATATAATTATATATATACATATAATATATAATATATATAATTTTAACATATTATTTTAATATCAATTATTTTAATTATAGTAAAATGCACATAACATTCACCAACTTAACCATTTTTATGTGTACAGTTAGTATCATTAAGTATATTCATACTATTATGCAACCAATCTTCAGAATTTTTTCATCTTGCAAAATTTAAACTCTATACCCATTAAACAACAACTATCCATTTCCCTCTACTCCCAGCCCCTGGCAAATCCATTCTATTTTCTGTCTCTGTGAGTTGACTACTTTAGATACCTCATGTAAGTGGAATCATACAGGGTTAGTCTTTTTGTGATTGGCTCATTTCACTTAGCATAATGTTCTCAAGGTTCATCCATGTTGAAGCATGTGTCAGAAGAGAATCTTTTTTTATGATAAGAGAGACTGGAGACTAAATTCTGAAGTGGAGAAGATTGTGATATGATATTTATGATGTATGGGAAAAGGAAAGAATCCATATGTCAGATTCAGAAGGAGGTAGCAGGAGATGGGATTCCTAGTATGGATGGAAGAATATTGTGATGAACAGAAAGGAGGAAATAATGAGTACATGTAGGCAAATTAATTTGTTGTGAATTAAGAGTTTTAAGATGATGGCTTTTGAAGGTATGAATAAATAATTAATCAACAACAAGGGATTTCTATCCCATGAATACAAACTATAGAATAACCAGTTGTCTTTAAAATTCTGGCTGTTGTTCAGGACAAGGCTAGATGAATATTCTTACTCTTGGAAAAAGAATTGTAAGGCCTGAATTTTCTGGGTAGTGGTCAGCAGTATCACTTTTATACACAAGGAACAAGATTAAATGTGTCAAATATACTGTCTTAGATGAACAAGACTTGTTTTCTTTTTTCCTTTTTTATTTTTGAGAGGAGTTTTGCTCTTGTTGCCCAGGCTGCAGTGCAATGGCACGATCTCTGCTCACCGCAACCTCCACCTCCCAGGTTGAAGCAAATCTCTGGCCTTAGCCTCCGAGTAGCTGGGATTACAGGCATGTGCCACCATGCCCAGCTAATTTTGTATTTTTAGTCGCAATGGGGTTTCTCCATATTTGTCAGGCTAGTCTCGAACTCCCGACCTCAGGTGATCTGCCCACCTCAGCCTCCCAAAGTGCAGGGATTACAGGCATGAGCCACCACATCTGGCCAGTTTTCTAACCAACTACTCTAAAAAACTTAGAACATTATTAACCTTTTATATAATTGTGACAAGCGGAACCAATGGACACATACCTACTGGAGATGTTTCAATTGAATATAAAAAGTAGATTTTATTGTTGAGTAGGTTGATCAAAAAAAGTAAATTTTAACAAAAGTACACTTTGAAATTCTTACCTACAGTTTCTGGTCTGAGAGATGCAATAGAAACCTCTGCTCCAATTAGTCCAAAGAGAAGGGGCTGAAAAATGTCCCAGGCAACTGCAATTATCTTTTCAACCTCTGCCTAAAAGAACAATAAAACACACACACAAATTTTTATTATTTGAAGTTCCAAAGAATTTTACTAATTTCAGGTTTGAATTATTGGGCCTAAGGTAAGCTTTATTTCTGTGCTATCTATAACTAAGAGTTTAACTAGAACAGTGCAAAAAAAATTATGTGAAGACCTTTCTAATAAAGTTAAGATACATGAGGAGTTTTAGCATACTAAATATTAGTTTGCAAATGGATGTTAATAAAAAGATTCTTATAAAGTAATCTTATGAGGATTCCTATTTCTGAATACATTATATGTGTGTGCATGTGTATGTACATACTGTAATATGTAGTATTGTTTTGTAGTTTAAAATTTTATGTCAACTTTCCTTCAACAATATGATTTAGACAGCTTACAGTATTTGTACATATATCTAGATATGCCTCTATTATTGCTGCATAGTAATCTACAGTATGGAAGTATCATAGTTTATTCAATCATTTCTTTATTGACAGACCTTTAAATTGTTTCCAATTTTATCTATACAAAAAAATACTATTTAAGGTTATCTCAAAGCATGCACAAGAGTAAAATCCAGGTTTACTAAAGTGATTCTCAGTGTCAATTATCACTTTATTACCCATTAGCTCCAATTCCTCTTTGACTGTTGCTCCACAGAAAATGGAGGTGGGCCTTTAATATATTTAAAAATATATTTTAAGATATTTTTCAAAGTTTAACAGGTAGCACCATGTTAAACTTGGTCAGTAGAGTGTGCTAAAGACATATTGCAAGTTGAAGGTGCTTTTTTCCTGGTTTCTGTGGCTCCTCCCAGCAAGATCTTAAGAGTATGCACTGGTGGCTTTAGTTCTAGGCCTAGGTTCCTGCATTCCAGATGGCATCTCCAGAATCAGGGTCCTTACAGTTCATGCAGTCAGCAGCACCTAGTGGCCATTAGGTTCCCTAGCATATCCCCAGGGCAGTTTCATAGCAGAATCTCTTCGGCAAGATACCTTCCCATGCACCATAGGGGATGGATCTCCTGCAAATTTGGAGGGTAGATTTTCAGCAAATTCTGCAGACACAGCATCACAGCAACTTCTCTAGGTTCTAAAAAGGTCTAGATCTCAGCCCTGTGGCAGGAAAATGAGGAGGGGACAGGCTTAAGGGGATGATCTATTATAGCCATAGGTGGTATTCCTACATTCTTAAAGGACATCTTTACGTCTTACTAGCCAATACCTTGTTACTCAAATCCCTGGTGTGATTAATAATCAACTGTCCCTATTCCAATTACTATGTGATTTCTCTTTCCTCATAGACCCTAATAGAAAAATGGGCAATGAACCCACAGTCAACATCATCATACTAAATAGGCAAAAGCTGGAAGCATTCCTTTTAAGAACTGGAATAAGACAAGGATGCCCACTTTCACCACTCCTATTCAACCACAGTACTGAAAGTCCTAGCAAGAGCAATCAGGCAAGAAAATGAAATAAAAGCAATCCAGTTAGGAAGAGAGGAAGTCAAACTATTTCTCTTTGCAGATTATACTATACCTGGAAATACTATACCCAGAATAGTATGTAGATACTATACCTAGAAAACCTCATAGTCTCTGCCTAGAGGCTTCTAAATTTTACAAACAACTTCAGCAGAGTTTTAGGATACAAAATCAATGCACAAAATCAGTATTTTTACACACCAATAATGTACAAGCTGAGATCCAATCAAGAATGTGATCTCACTCAAAACTGCCACAACAAGAACAAAATATCTAGGAATACAGCTAACCAGGGAAGTAAAAAATCTCTACAACAAGAATTACAAAACACTGCTGAAAGAAATCAGAGACAACCCAAATGGAAAAACATTCCACGCTCATGGATAGAAAGAATCAATATTGTTAAAATGGCCATATTCCCCAAGGCTATTTACAGATTCAGTGCTATTCCTATTAAACTACCAATGAAATTTTTCACAGAATTTGAAAAAAAAATTCTAAAATCCATTTGGAACCCAAAAAGAGCCTGAATAGCCAAAGCAATCCTAAGCAAAAAAAAAAAAAAAAAAAAAAAAAAAAAAAAAAAATGAATTCAGAGACATCACACTACCCAACTTCAAACTATACAAGGCTACAGTAACTAAAACAAGATGGTACTAGTATAAAAACAGACATATAGAACAATAGAACAGGTTAGAGAATTCAGAAATAAAATTGCACACCTACAACCATCTGGTTTTTGATAAAGTTGACAGAAACAAGCAACTGGTAAAGGACTCCCCTATTCAATAAACTATGCTGAGATAACTGGCTAACCATATGCAGAAGATTGATACTGGACCCCTTCCTTGCACAATATACAAAAATCAATTCAAGATGGATTAAAGACTTAAATGTAAAACTGAAAACTATAAAACCCCTAGTAAAAGATATAGGAAATACCATTCTGGACATTGGCCCATGCAGACTTCATGATGAAGAGTCCAAAAGCAATTGTGACAAAATCAAAAATTGACAAGTGGGACCTTATTAAACTAAAGAGCTCTGCACAGCAGAAGATACCACCAATGGAGTAAACAGACAACCTATAGAACAGGAGAAAATATTTGCAAACCATGCAAAGGTCTAATGTCCAGAGTCTTTAAGAAACTCAAGAAAATCAACAAGCAAAAAACAACTCTATTAAAAAATGGGTAAAGCACATGAATAGACACTTCTCAAAAGGAGACATACATGCGGCCAACAAGCATATAAAAATGCTCAACATCACTAATCATTGGGGAAATGCAAATCAAAACCAGAATGAGACACCATCTCACATCAGTTAGGATGGCTATTATTATTTTTTTAATATTTAAAATTAACCCTTTTATGATACATAGAAATCAGTAACAATATTTGACCTTGCAGAAGTAAACTGGGTGACCAAATGTCAAAAGAAACATAATTGTACATCTTTTGAGACATTTTAATTTTTTGAAAAATTTTATTTTAAATTTAGGGGCACATGTGCGGGTTTGTTACATAGGTAAACTTGTGTCATGGGAGTTTGTTGTACAGATTATTTCATCACTCAGGTATTAAGTGGGAAAATAGTTATATTTTTCCTGATCCTCTCCCTCCTCCCACCCTCCACCTTACAATAGGCCCCAGTATGTGTTGTTCTCCTCTCTGTGTCCATGTGTTCTCATCATTTAGCTTCCACTTATAAGTGAAAACGTGGTATTTGGTTTTCTCTTCCTGTGTTAGTTTGCTAAGGATAATGGCCACCCAGTCCATCTATGTCCCTGAAAAGAACATGACCTCATTCTTTTTTATGGGTCCATAGTATTCAATGGGATATATATACAACATTTTCTTTATCCAGTGTATCATGAATGGGCATTTATGTTGATTTTATGTCTTTGCTAATGTGAATAGTGTTGCAATGAACATACATATGCATCAATCTTTATAATAGAATGATCTATATTCCTTTGGGTATATACCCAGTAATAGGATTGCTGAGTCAAATCCATTTCTGTCTTTAGCTGTGTGTGGAATTACAACACTGTTTCCACAATGATTGAACTAATTACACTTCCACCAACAAAATGGCTATTATTAAAAGTCAAAAATAACAGATACTGGTGAGGTTGTGGAGAAAAAGGAATGCTGATACGCCGCTGGTGGGAATGTAAATTAGTTCAGCCACCGTGGAAAGCAATTTGGAGATTTCTCAAATAACTTAAAATAGAACTACCATTTGACACAGCCATTTTATTACTGGTTACATACCCAAAGGAATATAAATCATCCTCCCATTAATACACATGCACATGTATGTTCATTAAAGTGCTACTCACAATAGAAAAGACACGGAATCAACTTACATGCCCAGCAATGATAGACTAGATAAAGAAAATGTGGTACATATACACCATGGAATACTATGCAGATAGAGAAAATGAAAAAAGCTGGAGGCATCACACTACTTGACTTCAAACTATACTTCAAGGCTACAGTAACTAAAAGAGTAATGGTACTGGTACAAAGACAGACACATGGACAACAACAACAGGTTAGAAAACCCAGAAATAAAGCTATGCCTCTACAACCATCTGATATGTCACAAAGCCAATGAGAACAAGAAATGTGGCAAGGACTCATATACACCATAGGCGTATATATCATGGAATACAATGCAGCCATAAAAAATAATGAAATCATGTCCTTTGCAGTGACACTGATACAGCTGGAGGCCATAATCCCAAGCAAATTAATGCAGGAGCAGAAAACCAAATAGCACAGTTCTCGCTTATAAGTGGGAGCTAAACAATGAGTACACATGGACACAAAGAAGGGAACAGTAAACACTGGGGTCTATTTTAAAGTGGCGGGTGGCAGGAATGTGAGGAATGAAAAAGTACCTATCAAATCATATGTTGATTATCTGGGTAACAAAATTATCTGTACTCCAATTCCTTGTAACACATCATTTACCCACGTAACAAACCTGCACATATACCTTTTTAACCTAAAATAAAAGTTGAAAAGAAAAAAAAGGAAAAATGGGCAAAACACATGCACAATTAATTCACAGAAGAAGAGATACAAATAGTCACAAAATCTAAGTGCTAAAACTGAGTAATCATGAAACAAATTAAATTGACAGGCCTTTGTTTTTTGAAAGGGGAACACCACATTCAGAAAAATACTCAAACATTTTAATAATGAAAAGTATTCATGACTTTGTAAGGAAACTCACCACCTGGCAGGAGAGCAAACTGATAGTGCTTTTTTGGAGGTCAATTGAGCAGTACCTGTTACACTGCCTTAGCATTTACACAGAACAGATTTTCTCATCACTAAAAGAAGCTGTATTTTTGGATGACATTTCAATGCTTAAAGTTACACAATTTAAGGATCTGCAATCCCAAATATATACATCAGGTCCTCAAATAATGTCATTTCTTTCAACGTTGTTTCCTTCCAACAATGAGAAAAAAAAAATCAATTCCTCATGTTCTCCCCATATCTGCAA